GTGCTCTTAAAATCTGCTCTGTTGGCAGCCTCCAGCCGTACTGAGCTGCAGCTTGGGCAGTCGAAAGGATCTTTTCAGGGACCTCCTGTTATTGCTGTTATCATTTTTATTACAGATTACATAGATCTTGAGGAGTTTCTTCTTAATTTTATTTTCCTAAAATCCTCATTGTTTTTAAAGCACTGTTTTGCAGAATGTGGGGGTTTTTTCCACAAACACTTGTATCACATTATGGCAGAAACACCTGTCTAGGAGGGAAGGGGAAACCGTAAGGTATGGGATGGGGTTAAGGTGGGTGGTATGGGAAAAGAACGAGAGCTCAGATGAGGACATTGGCTTTAGAAACTGGAGAAAAATCGTCCTCTTCTAATACAGGGGGAGGTAGGGGGCCATGAAGGTGGACAAGATTAAGCAGTAGCGAGGAAGAAGACAGGGGCCTCTGTTTTCTCAATCAGAGCACCAGTGATGGAGTTGAAAAGACTGGCTAATGGTCTTGAGAAAATTGGACGTTTAGAACAGCTGCTACAGGGAATGAGAAACTGAGATGAGAGGAGGCAAGTCCAAACATCGAGTGGCTTTGAAACTTTGTTTTTTAAAGACACCAATTAGTTTCATATTTTTCTTTCACAATATTGGAAACCTTAACAAGAACCAAAAGAAACTGGCTGGAAATTTAGTACAGAGGTTGGGTAAGTTGAATAAAACATAAGGACGAGGATGGTGAGGAAACTGAGCTGTTTATACTTGTAGTTGACATGACTTTATACTTGTAGTTGACATGACTGACTTCGCTGGACAGGCCAGGAAGGGAAGAAAGTACAGCTGGAAGGGCACAAAGGGTTAGAGGCGCCAAGCACAACAAACATGGTCAGGCTGACGTCTGGGGGAGGGGTCGGGTTGGAATGGGACAGGATGAGGGAGGCTTCAAGATTGGGGGGGGGGAGCAGGTCCAGGCACTGTTGAGGACCACGACTAGCTGACTGTCTGACAGAGATAAGAGACAGTGAATGTTCATTGAAGGGGCAGCGGAAGAAGAAGAGGTGAGTCTGGAGAGTGTGAATCTAGGAAGGCTTCCACTGAGCACTGACATGCGGGGTGGCCCTCCTTTGACAATGATTTTCATTTTCATCCGAAAAATAATGTGCTTTAGTTCATTTGAAACAGTGATCTTAACTTTTTAGATTGAACTAGATGAAATTTACACTTTTATATGTAAAAACGGTCACTTAGAGGCAGGGTCATCTGGTTCAAAGGATTGGCTGAATAGTAACATCAGAAACTGACAGCCTAGGAGTGTTTTCTCTTGGCCAGAAACTGTCACCTGGGGCCCTTTCAGTTTGCCACGCATCTGCCTTCCATGGAGGGGGCATGTGATCAATTAACATTCAGGAGTGGAAAACTCAAAAATTAAAATCTAAAAAGTATTCCTTGTGAAAAACATTGACTATGGCTGTCCCATGTGTTCAGTTTTCTGTAGACACTGTGCTGAGTACAATCATGAGGAGTATCTAGTGTAATATTCCCAACAGTTCTATAAGGTGGGAACACCTCTAGTCACAGGAAATAAGCACAGAGAGGCCAGGTCACTCGTCCAAGGTCACACACAGCTATAGGGGAATCAGGATTTGACCCTAGGGACTCTGGTTCCAAGACTTGTACACTGAACGTGGATACAAGCTGCTTGTTGGAATCATTCCAAAATATGTGTTTTAACCAAAATTCCTACCTGACGGTCCATATTCATCTTGTTTTTTTCCGAGGACAAAGTCAGGAGTGAGATGAATGTATTCTCCTTTTTCTTCACAGGCTGTGAACTGCTTGGTATATGGTTCATCCCTGCCTGGGAGGGTAGGTGGTGCAACTAAAACATCAGCCTGAGAATGTTTAAAAATATGTTTAAACATCAGAATAGAAATGATAACATTTGTCTGAAAAAACTCAGAGATGATTAATTTAGGTCAAAATCAAGAGGCAGCAGAGAAAACATTTTTAAGAGAAGCTTTTTGACACTTACATGTGTATAGCTTTCATATTTTGGCCTTTTGTACTGAGTATTGCTCTTCCAATTCTCTGGAACTAATATTGATACATTTTTGAAAAAAAATCTTTTTTCTGTGGCTTCAAACAGGTAAGTAGATGCTGCAGTCACCATTTCCTATTATTAAAGGGAAAAATATGAGAAGATGGCCAAGTGAGAGTGGAGTAAATAAGCAGATGCTCGTCACAGGCATTTCCCCAATTAAGAGTAGATAGAAAAAGCAACTAACTAACGAGCAGAGTCTCTCCCTCACAATTGCAACTCTACCACTTGTCAGTCCAAAAGTACAGCTTAATCCCACCCATCAAGGTCTTTGAGTTTTCCATAAGCCTTCAACGAGGAGCGAGTGCTACTGTTTGCTGTTAGGAGAAATTGCATAAAATGATAAAGGCGTAGATTTTAGAGTCATCTACTTGGTTCCAACACTGGCATTAGCGCTTTCTGGGTGACAGAATTTGGCCTCAGTGGACTATTACAGCCCATCTTTAAAATTGTTGTAAACATGGAATAAGCTATAAAGTACTCTGCACATAGGCAGTCATAAACCTGCTTGATACCATCACTTTTTATAAGTCTTAGTAGAGAACGGCTTCAGCTGTTGTTTATAAGTAGGGGTTATAGAAGATATTTTTCACTGCACTCCCAACCTTAGGAGAAAGGACTGGATTGGGAGCCCAGGGAGTGGAGTGATGGAAGAAATCATAGGTGAGGCAGAGCTTTTGGGTCCTAGGCAGATCATTTTGCTCTGTCACCAAGCAGAAAATAATATCTCCTTATATTTTTCAGTATGCTGAGCCCAAAGGTACAATGATTGGTGAAGGAAATAGTCTCTCCCTAGAGCTTACTACCTAGTGGGGGAAACAGAAAAGTTCCTTGGTAAACTATTCTATGTGATTAACCCCACAGAATAATTGTGGGACCCTGCGTATTGGATAACAATGCCAACCTCTCCATCTTGCTGGCAACACCCCAGTCTACAGTGTTGTTCTCTTCATGGCAAGTTCTCCTCCTCCATGCTGCTTCCTGACCTACATAAGTCCCCAGTAGAATTACTCTTCTTCAGGAATTCCAGGGTTTTCCTCTGTTCTAGTGAAGAGAATCCAATGTGCTGACTCATTTGTACTGAAGAGATCAGCAAACTGATTGGATTTAGAGCCAGGGATCAGTCAGAAGTCGGGGTATAAAGAACTGAAGACCAAGAGGACTGGCTAGGAGTTAGGAAAAGGACTTCAAAGATCTCCTAAAGTAGACTGAAGGTTACTTCAGAGAGAATTTTCTACCTGAGAATGTTCCGTAAGAATGCCTCTCCTCTTTGTTTTGGGATATTTAGATCTCAATCAGTTTTTACCTTCTGCTTAAAGAGATGGCTCGCTCTGTGCCTATGAGTGTCTATGGTATATATGGCAACTTGAACTGCGGTACACTTTGAGGAAGTCAGGTTGCTGCATACAGTTGTGTGGGCTGGGCAAGGGAACCCATTTACTTTGTAGTCTCATAACTCTATACAACTATCTTTGGTATGTTTCAGGTCATGAGAGGTGGCCCAGACCCTATTATCAGATGACTGTGATACCTTGGGGCATGCTGGGGTGGCTAATTATGGTTCTCACAAGCTTCCAAGCAGAATATTGTATATAAAATTCCATCTAAATTCCTATAATATCCTAGTTGGATCAAAGAAGATTAGGATACCAATGTTTCAAAAGAATAAGTACTCTCAAACCCAAAAACACGTGAATGAAAGGAATAAAGAAAGTTGACAATTGGAGGGGGCCAAGATGGCAGAGTATTAGGATGCTCGCAGCTCACCCTCTCACACAGATACACCAAGACTCACATCCACAGACCCACTCAGCCCACCAGAGCACCTGCGGAGCTCCGACAGAACATCGTCCTCTTCAAAAGACAAAGACGCCAAAAATCTGGTAGGAGAAAAGGAAAAAAGAAAGAACAAAAGGCAAAGCAGCGCGGGACAGGTCCCGCGGGGAGGGAGCGGCAAAGGAGGACTGGCGCTCGCTCGCTGGGTCTCCCCTCTCCAACCGAGAGGCCAGCAGGACGGAGGGGGAGCCTCCGAGGCTCGGATCTGTACAGAGCAGCCCTTGACCGACAGAACTAAGTTAAACTGGCACAGAGCGTCCCCGCAACACCCAGCCCAAGACGAAGGCTGGCAGCGGCGGGCAGAGCCAGGCTGCACAAGCCAGGCGGAGCACAGGGGTGGCTGCACGGAGGCAGCTCCGGGGGACTGCAAGGGGCTGGGCGCCTGGGGCTGTGGGTGTACAGGACAGAACAACCTGGGCCCTCCATAAAACAGCAAGGTTGATGTGCTCTCGGGGGAAGGGTGCATACCCCCATCTCTGAAAACCCACGGAAAGTTTTCGGGGCAAGAGAGGGGGGGCCCACGCACAGCCACCATATCCTCCGGCGCTGAGCACCCAGGCGGGGGCGGGGGCGAAGCCTGCATCCGCACCGAAGGGCTCAGCAGCCTCAAAGGCCAGGCAGAGACTTGTCTACAGCCCGAGGCAGACAGGATCCTTCCATCCTGGTCCCTCAGAGAACTTGCTCCGCCAAGACAAACAAGGACTGGGTTCTGGCCCAGAGCAGGGACAGGGCTGTTCCGCGGTCTTCCCCAAGCCCAGCTGCAGAGCGCAGACCCGAGGCAGAGGGCGCAGCGGCACAGAGCAGCG